ACTGGGCGCTCGGCGTGCGCGCGGCCGTGACGCACTTCCGGCCCGTGGCGCACGTGGCGTGGCACGCGCGCGGCGACTACTTGGCCGTGACGCTGCGGGACGCGGCCGCGCGCGCCGTCGTCGTGCACCAGCTGTCGCGGCGCCGCTCGCAGCTGCCCTTCGGCCGCTGCAAGGGGCTCGTGCAGTGCGCCGTCTTCCACCCGCTGCGGCCGCTGCTCTTCGTGGCCGTGAGTGTCTCGGCGGCGGAGTCCGGTTCCCGCGATGGTAGTGCGACGCACCCTACGGAACCTGCCTGTCTGTCCGACCGCGTTCGGTTGCGGGGACCGCTGTCGCCCCCGGTGTGCGGTGACCGCCTCTCCTCGGAAGAGGCGCCGCGCTTCCGACTGCATTTTTCGCTGTGGACTCGAAGTACTACAGTAGACTGTATCCGCCGAAGCCCGAATTGGACGGTGGGCTCGTTCCGAGTAGCCGGAGACGACCGGATATCGGTACGGGTTTATCGCGAAAAGTCGGAGCGGACTCCGTTCTGCGAAGAATAAACGCGCCTGCGTTTTTTTAGACGGCCTTCTTTAAACCCCGAGTATTGGTAGTATAATATTAAACCCGTTAAAGAACAGCCGCTACGGTTTATCGTCTACGAAGTAAAAGCGACCGGCAAAATAGAGCGTCCCGAGATTTTTCGTTGGGTACCGGGGCAGCCCTTCACGGGTAACTTCCCCGACACTCGGACCCCCGACTTCCCGCGGTCGGCCAGCGGTGCACCGCACTTCGGACGCCGCCAGCCACCAGAACCGACCGCTCGCACTGACAGCGCCAGCGGCCGCAACTCGTCATCCGACGAACGCCGCTATTCAGGCTAGACATGAACACCGATAATAGACCAACCGGCGGCGGCGCGCGGACAAAAAAGTGTCGCTAGCGGGCCAGATGGAACCCCAGCACGAGTCCTACGTAACTGTGCGCCTGTGTTGTCTCCTGTTCTCACACGCCTACGCCTCTCACTTAAGACTGGTGTAGTTCCCAGGTTGTGGAAGCTTGCAAACGTGCAACCTGTGCCGAAAAAGGGAAGCAGAGCCGACTCTGACAACTATAGACCTATCTCGGTCACTTCCATGCTCTGCAAGACTATGGAACGTGTACTCAACAACCGTGTCTTATCGTACCTTCAAGATAACGACCTCCTCAGTGACCGCCAGTACGGATTCCGAAGAGGATCAACTGGGAATCTTGTGTATGCCTGTCACATATGGAGCGAGGCTATAGAAAAGCAAGGTGACGCGTTTGCAGTGTCTTTGGATATTTGTAAAGCCTTTGACGGGTCTGGCACGCAAGCCTTTTAAGTAAGCTTCCCTCTTATGGGCTTCCCACTGACCTTTGCAACTGGATCTCGGATTTCTTGAGCGAACGTTCGATTCGAGTAGTCTTAGAAGGCTTCTCTTCCGAACATGTGGCGATAGATTCCTCAGGGTTCCGTACTGTCCGCAACTCTACTGCATATCAATGATATGTTAATTCCAGGTACCTTTACGTATGCTGATGACAACACAGTTGTAGATAGGTGCTTGACCAATGCAAGGGTCAGTGGAGAGGAAATCTATTCTTGTCGAGAGTCTATGGTTAGTCGTTTGTGTTTGACACTCAAGGCAGTCTCCGATTGGGGCGATGCCAATCTTGTCAAATTTAACGCTACTAAACGCAGGCGTGTCTATTCTTCACAAACCGGAGTTCCTTTGAGCTGACTCCGACTTTTCGTGATATATCCATACCGATAGCCGACTGTCTCCAGCTACTTGGAATGGACTTGTTGTCCAATTTGTACTTCGACAGATACGTTGCATCCATGACCAAACATGCAGCAAGGAAGCTTGGGATCCTTTCCAGGGTGAGGCGTTACTTCACACCGGGACAAGCACCATATCTTTCTACGTTAGTTTTGATCATAGTGACCCTCCCTACCTACCCTTACTTTACTTACTTTATACCTTAGGGCATACGAGAAGGACACTATAACCTGTGCGCCGCACAAGTTATAGGGCTCTTCGAGAGGCTAGTGCCTCGGGTGTCCGCCCCGGGTGCACGTACAGTACCCTCCCTATTTTCCAGATAGGTACCGGAGCTATAGAACGCTCACTTCCCGTTGCGCATTGCACAGCTAACAGTTGCCACCGCTAAGCCGTCGACTCTAAGTCCACTACCAAATCTCCTCATTAGTGGCGGAGCTGTAAGGCACGCTCACTTCCCGACGCCGAAAAACGACGTATCTCCAGTTCCCAAAGACCTAAGCGGCTGTAGGGACCGGAGGATATCTAGCGTATCCTCTACTAGCTCTCCTGGCTAGTGCCGGACATGCCAGTTGCAGTGTCATGCAAGTCCATGCCCAAGTCCGAGTCCGCCAGAGACGCTCGCAAAGGCGTATCACTGGCGGAGGGCTTGGCCCGGACTCCCGCTGAACCTTATCTCTCGGGTCAGTAGATAGAGAGACACACACCGGGACAGTTGCTTCAGCTATACCATAACAAATCCGTCGTCCGATCGGTATTTTACAGGATATATCACGGAGAGTGTGCGTAGGCGTAGACTTGGGTTCCACCTCTATGTTGTGGATATTCCAAAGATTCGCACGAAGCGTTACGGTTCCACATTTATATGGCGAACGGCTATGGAGTGGAATTCCCTGCCCGCAGACTAGTTCCCTGAAAGTTATAATTTGGGAGTTTTCATGGCGAAAATTAATAGGCTTATCCATCGTCACTTTCCATCAGGTGAGATGGAGGTCAAATGCGAACTTACATTTTATAAAAAAAATAAGTTTTATCTAAGAAAAGTCATTTTCTGGCGTCGCCATTTTCACATACACAATACGGAAGCGTGCGCGTGCGTACGATCGGAGCGCCTGATCGAATTGAACGGCGCGCCGATTGCACTTGTCGGCGGCGGCGCACTATGGGAAATAGTAGAACAACGGCGTATCCAAAATAGGTTTTGACCAGTGTCTTAATTGAAATACACATTTAATTTACTTTGATAGTTTAGATGTCATACTTTATTATACTAAAGGTTTTTTTATGTTAGGTAGGTACGTTGATTTAATAAAAATACCTCCAAAATGTCCTTTCCCGTACTCATCTGATGTGTTGTGTCGTATAATTTTGGAACTTTCAACGTCGTATTTTGTATTGATTTTGTTAGATAAGCTATATGTTATTATATATTTCTATAAAGCACATCTTACGTAAATGTCAAAAATAGTTGATATTTTTCTCATTTGTGTAATGTAAAGAATGATAATTAAAAATGGAGACATTAACCTATCTTTATCAAATTCATCAAAGGTTTTGACTGTTAGCGAAGCTTGCCGAAGCTTCGAATTTTGTATTATTTCATAGCGTAGGTATTTTGATAATGAATTTTTATAAAAATCAGCTGCGGTTTTTTGCTGTTTCTAAAGATATGAAAGAAATCGTAACAAATGTCCTACCGCAGAAATATACCCTCATCAATACAACGCGATAAGATAATATAGATGCGGTTGCATTTATCATATTTATCAATATTATTCACACGACACCATTACTATATAATGCTCTGACGCATTAATTTCATAAATTTATTAAAACAAGCAGTCGTTTGTTACTGAATATACTTTTCCAACTACTTTAAAAATGAGTACTTTCAAATGTTTGAGACGAGAACTAACACTTTCCTACATTGAAGGTGGAAGAAATGAATCGGCTCTAGAAACATTTTTACGAGATTGTTATGAACTTTCGGAGGACAATTTGCGTTTAATTATCAAAGTGATTTAAAAAAAAATTGCTAACACAGTTTAACAGTCGATGGAGCCAAGCAACACGCAAGAAAGAAGCCTTTTGAGGGTTAACAGTGATTGGTTGGTTCAAGAGTTTTTTGGTACTTTGTCAACGACAATCGATTCCATTCATTCCATCTACTTCAACTGGAAAACGAGGAAGAGGCGCAAAAATACTACACTACTTAATGAATATGGATTTGAACACGTCCATGGTGCATATATTTAAGGGCTGCGATCAAAGGGAGAAAGTAATGAAGCAAAAATCGTGGAGGCATTGAGGTCTGCAGATGCAGAGAAAAAAAATTCAGTGCTAAAATTGATGGACGACCCTAATACCATCCAAACGCTGAGCGATCAAGAAGCATTAAGTGTATTTATTGAATTGGGTCTGACCAGAGCTCAATAAATATTGAGCTCTGGTCAGACCCAAAAGTAGTAAGAAACAGTTACGTTCATCCATAATATTGTTCAAATATAAATATATTTGAAGAATATTATGGATGAACGTAACTGTTTCTTACTACCACTTTATTACAAAGGACCAAAAGGTAAACAGAACTGTTACCCACCTGCATCAGTTATTGAAATTACAAACACGTGTGCAAAAATGTTATCCCTACAGGATTTATTAGATCACACAACGGCGAGGATATTGATGATAGATTCCGTGTACAAAAACGGTTTGAAGCAGTTGGTTTTATACAGTTGGTTTTATACAAAAAAGGGGATGTGGTGGCGCGTCTGGTCAAAGTGAGTATAAACAAAGATTTCTAGAGGAGTCTGAACTTATATCAGACTCATATTTATTCGTCGCGTCTGTTGTGCCCATCAGATAAATTGATGAAACGACTGGTACTGTTGTTCGGCAAAATCCTGCGCCTTCATCCGTGAGATTCTGTCGCCCTATTTTAATTGAGTTTTCGAAAGAAACTCCTGAGAAAATTAAAGCTGTTGTTAACGATATTCAAAATTAAATTGATTCTTTGATTTCATCGTTGATTGTTAAGGAAGGCAATGGCGTTCAAGTTAAACATGAACTTTTTTTGACCCTGACAGACTGCAAAGTCGCTCAGGTATTAACCGACACTCCTTTAAGTTCAACATGTAATATTTGTGGTGCTACTCCACGTCTAATGAATAATTTACAAAATGTAACTGCTAGGCCCGAAAATGAAAATTCTTTTCGTTATGGATTATCACCACTGCACGCCTGGATTCGCTGTATGGAGATGATTTTGCATATTTCTTATAACCTTTCGTTTCAAAAATGGTCAGCTACGAGTGACGAAAATAAACAAATGAAACAAGAGAAGAAAACTGTGGTACAAAGACGCTTTCGAGAAGAGCTTGGAGTAATAATTGATAAACTACGGCAAGGAGGTGGCAATACCAATGACGGTAACACTGCGAGAAGGTTTTTTTATAATACAGCCTGCTCAACTGAAATTACAGGAGTCGATGAAATTTTGATACAGCGACTCTATGTAATCTTTCAAGCTTTATCGTCTGGCATAATGGTAGATTTCCAAAAATTTGGGGAATGTGCTTTGGAAACTGCAAGAATATACGTCAGTAAATATTATTGGTATTATATGCCGCCTTCGGTACACAAAATATTAATTCACGGAGAAGATATAATTAATCATTTTGCAATGTTACCTATCGGACAACTTTCAGAAGACGCTCAAGAATCTCGTAATAAAGGCTACAAAAAAATTTAGATTACACCACGCAAGAAAGTGCTCTAGATCTGCAACAAATGAAGATGTATTTCACACGTTACTTTGTACTTCTGATCCATTTATAACCAGTAACCGAAAAGCTTATGTTAAAAATCGACAAGAACTTGACGAGGAGACACTACGTCTATTGAAAGTGGACCAACTCATCACTGATTCTGAAAAAGATATTATATTACAGTAATAATAGGCCATGATCGAAGAGAGAGTCTAAAACAGATATCCGAAATTATAGCAAACATGCTTTCACGTTTATTCTTGTCTCGTTTTTTATTTTATGTAATTTTAAGTAAAATGTATAATTTTAATTACATTTAATGTATTTTATGAATAAAGTACCGTAACATAGCATTTCCATTAAAAAAAAAATATTGGGTAGTATTTACCAGAGAGAGATTTATGGTTTTGCACATTTTTTTGTCTCTAAATAAATAATAATAAAAAATTGAAAGGTGTATCTGAAAAAACAAAAAAGTTACAGATTTTTGGTCCTTAACTGAACTAAATTTCCCATAGTGCGGCGGCGCGCCGGCGCGGCGCTCATCTCTAATTCAGGCTCGACCTCTTAACGACAACTTCCGAATACGAGTCGGAACACGGAAAAAATAGTGGTAACCGACCACCGCCAAAGCCCACCACCAATACTGCCGTCCACTAACTAAACGCGGCTAAGTGACAAATGGTTAGATATCCGTTTTAAATAGCAAAATATTGAGCAGAAAATTGTCTTTTAAAAGCAGTTAAAATTGGTTAACACGTTCGACTTATCGGAACTTAACCTAAATATGCATAGCTGCAATATCGTTGAACAATTTGAATATTCCAAAACTGGGTTATGGTTTACTGTGATATCTCGAAAAGTTATTTCGTCCCTTAGCCGCCAGTTCTAATCGTTGAGAAATGTCCGTCCGTCCGTCCCGCAGACGCAGCGCGTCGTGCGCGTGTACGACCTGGTCAAGCAGGAGCTGGTGCGGAAGCTGGAGCCGGGCGCGCAGTGGATCAGTGCGTTGGCCGTGCACCCCGCGGGCGACAACTTACTGGTGGCGTCTTACGACCGCAAGGTGATGTGGTTCGACCTGGAGCTGTCGGCGCGGCCCTACCAGACGCTGCGGCTGCACGGCGGCGCCGTGCGCTCCGTGGCCTTCCACCGGCGGTACCCGCTGTTCGCCACGGCCGGCGACGACCCCTACATCGTCGTCTCGCACGGCATGGTTTACAAGTGTGTAGCCCCACCGCCTTCACGTCAACGGTTAGTCGGTTGACTTCGGGCGTGGTGCTACAGCGTCTGTGCCGTTGCAGCGACCTGCTGCAGAACCCGTTGCTGGTGCCGCTGAAGCAGCTGGCCGGACCTTCGCGCGTCGCGGAGCTGTGCGTCACCGAGCTGCGCTTCCACCCCACGCAGCCGTGGCTGCTGGCCGCCGGCGCCGACCACTCGCTGCGCCTCTACTCCTGATCTTACGATACACGACTACCCCGGTTGATATTTCTTTTGTTCTCATTCCACCTATTGAGAGAATAAACAATATGTTTTGGCAATATCGTTTTACTTTACATCGTCCAAATTGTCGATTTTAAGCAAATGAACGCGGAAAAATGGTATGCCATATTCCAGGATCAGTTTCTCTTCTCGTATAATTTTATTATCACCTAACACTAGTGACCGGACAAAATATGAACAGTGATTGCAGCGTCAACTGCAATGTGTATAATTCAGTGATTGTATGTAATACCTGGTCATTAAATAGAATACCGGGCTTCTTTAGGTAATGTATAAAATAGTTAATATTTTTTAATTGTGTCTATTACACATTGTGTACTACATAGGCATTGTATACAAAACATAGATATTGTATAGAACGCCAACCGTAGATTTGACAAAATATTAAATGATAGACAAAATAATCAAATTAGTTCTCTCCTTCTCTCGACCTTCTCACTTACATACTATATAAAGTAATTTAATTACTTTTATTTATTTTATTTTATTTTATTCGGAACAACAACAGCTATTAATAACTAGTTACATTGAGTGTTTTAGGTAAAGCTAGTTAGCGTCGGTTACAGTTGTCCACATTTTCATTTTCAAATATCTAACTTATTGTAAAAATAAGATAAAAGTTAGAGATGAAACGGATATCCGGTAACTATACGGTATCCGACCTATTTTAACCATCCGGCCGGATAGCAGAACAATTTCCGGCCGGATACCGGATATTTATAACTGATGAAAATTCATAGTACGCCAAATAAATGGATTTATTGATTACAGATGATAGTAAAAGGATGAACAGCAACTACATGATTATTGACAATCTGTTTATTACTTTTAACTCAAACAACTATGAAGTTAGATAACGTTATCTGTAAATTTAGTACTCAAATTTTAATAAAGGGATATTATGGTGGAGGAAGACTAAAGGACTATCCGGGATGTGGTTTGGTGGTTTGTATGAACTGCAGGCCCGGCCCCGGCCCGGACACGGACATGTGTGAACAAGTTCATACAAAATATACACAACGATATTTTTTGAGGCCCTGACGGAGCACGGCCTGGATATGTGTGGCTAGACTTTATTCTGCATTAGATGGTAAAAGTTGGTTTTATTTATTTTCATAAACAAGACCAGCTTTTGAGGACAGTTTTTCATTATAAACTCTTGCAAACTTTATTAATTTTTAAGTACCTTTTGTTATTGCCAAACGACCAAATGAAAGGATTACGATCACGATGGATTTGAACTGTCTTTAAATACAATGTGTGCCTACAATAATGAAACCTGTAAATGGATAAATTGTTTTTTTTTGCAAATATGGTATCAAGGATTAGAATTGCTTGGATCACAAACAAGTCAATGAAATCAAATTGAAACAAAATGATAACGGGCGTATCATGTGCTAGGCTAAAATTTTTCCTTAAAACAACTAGAAATTTTAATATAGCCATAGAAAGTTGTAATTGCCTTTTTCCTTCTCCACCGCGAGAAATTTGCATTCGACACAACGAACAAACAGCACTCATATTAAAATATTGCCGAATTTGCGACTTCTTTTCACTATTAACACTTTTCTATTATGTATTATTCCAAAAATCAAGAACCAGTTACGCAGTCAACGATTTTCATCACCCGAAGAGGCTACCGAAGAGTATGAAAAATATGTTTCAGATTGTCACGGAAGAGTGGCACAAATGTTTTCAAAATTGGTTCATTAACGCTAACGGAGAATATTTTGAGGAACAATAAATTCATTTCTGACCATTCATAGTATTTTTTTTCTTATTCATTCCAGAAACTAAAAAAAATAAATAATGGAATAATAAAATGATAAAAATGTATTTACTATAACGTACGTAAATCATAATATTATACGACATCGCATACATTGTTTTCATTTCATATGTTGAGTGTGTGCTTTATTCCAAAGTAAGTAGCTAAAGCATTGTTTTAAGGAAATCGGAAACAACGACACGGTACCACAAACACCCAGATCCAAGACAATATAGAAAAGTTAGTTCTATATTGACCCGGCCAGGAATCGAACCCGGGATCTCAGAGATGGCGATACCATGACAACCGGTGTGCAAGCCACTGGACCACAGAGGCCGCCAAAATTACATATTTTAACTACGGTCCCTGCACTAGACTACGCCTGTCTCGCGTAGGAAGCAAAGCAAGTACGCGCAGGGTGAGCTCGATGAAACGATGAAATTCGTGTCGAATAAATGCGCCTTAAAGGTGTAAGTCGACATCCGAGTGAACTCCTATACGGTCTAACTCATACGAGCGCACTCGGTCCGACAGCACTGGTAAAGTGAAGGCCCGGCTTAATATATTTTCAAGATCATTTTTTAATGTTTTTTTTTTAAGTTTCTCCGTTGAAAATTTAATTAATGCTACTTCGTGAAAAACCTATTGAACAAGAAGGGAAAAAACTAATGTTTTTTCCTATCAGTTCTCTTCATTCAACCATTCATTCACAAAGCTTTTTCTCTCTTTCTTTGTTTTGGAAGTGCGTGCTCACTCGAACGAGCACAAAAATAATCAATTTGTTTCACTCACTCACAGTTTGTTTATAATAGCGTCGGTTGGTAGATTCATGCGTGTTTCGCAAAATATACCTTCATGTTTAATATATATCCCTCGGTTTTTACGTTTTCACCGCGCGTTATTTATATTTGAACACCATGATTTCTTCTTTGAGCAATATTTATTTATGGCTTTCATTTAAACGCTGAACTAAATATCTTGAGCGAAAACCGACTACAAAAGTGTATATGTGTGAAGCTATTTTCGTTACCGGACGTTATTGGAGCTAGACCCACTCAGATTTTTTTATGAATTTATCGAGAGAGGGAGTGGTGATCTTGGGAGTCCTTTGTGAAAGTCGAGTGATGTTTGTGCAGCGGCGAGCCTTTGTATAAGTGCAACGCGATGTCGGCGACGCCGCCTGCGGAGGGTGGCGCTGCCGCCGTGGTGCCGGCAGAGCCACTGGCGTTGGATGACCGTGATGCGGAGCCTCGCACACCCATGAAGCGGCTCGGCTCCACCAGGAAGCTCGCCGCCTTCACTAGTAAGTAACGCGGTTGTCTACGGTAAGAGCCGCATTGCTAAAGTAAGATACCAATTTATGAATGTAGTCCTACTTGTCTATAATATTTCTGTTTCACAGGAGACGTATCATAGTAATTCCAAAATCCCTTTCTCGGAAAGAATGCTAAACCTGTCTGAACAGATAACAACCAAAGATTATAATAATAAATTGACATATTTCTTCCAATGATTTGAAAATCCCAGAGTAACAAATTATTTGATTCATGGTCGTCCTTTTCTAGTAGTGTATATGCTGTGTATTATAAACCAAAGTCATTGTTGTTGCTTATGCAGTTTTATATTAATAAAATATCTCAAAGCTAACCATTTACATAATATGTGTCTGATAGAAGCAGTATGTACAGCAAGGACAGCATTTGTTTATTCAATACTATGAGTGTGCTCACAGCATTGCAGTTCTAGTTCATGAGGAGATCCTTACGTGTACAAACAAGTACAAAATTTAATTTGCGCTATCGTTTAATATAATGTTGTATACAGTGCTCTCAAACGTCCCAATTTTAAAACAGAGCTACTGGTTTTACATTATATTTACTATGATGTTTTTCCCCATTTTTATTATTTACATAAAATTATTTATTTTAATTTAAAATAATTATTTTAATTTAAAATAATTATTTTAATTTAAAATAAATAATAATTAAGAATTGACACATTTTGATAAATACAATATCTCATTTTAGAAGTGGCAATTTATGGAGTGGCAAATTTCATAAGACAAGTAATATGGAATATATCACATAAATTTTTAAAAAGACTTTACTTGTATATTATAAATAAATAACGCACACACTCAACATATTTTCCATTTGTAGTCTGTTTAATTTTGTGAGTAATTCTTACTTATTTGGAATACAGTTGTGGTGACCATCTGACTGTTTATTTTCCTTTTAGAACATTAAACCGATAGTATATTATAAAGGTTTCCTCATTGGTTTTAGATTTTATAACTTACTACACACTTTATTAAAATTTAAAATAATGTTACTTCCAAAAACCATTCGTACATGAGCCCTGTACCTAGGGGTACCGCACGCCGAACCTGACCCCACTGTAGGCAGTGGGGTCAGGTTCGGCGTGCGGCGCGTGTTCGGGTTCAGATTACGGGGCGTGCTTATGCTCCTTGGTAGCACAGCGGTTAGTACTATGGGCACTTGATGAGGAGGTTCCGGGTTCGATTCTCAATTTTGGCCACTTTAGGAGACAAACATTTCAAAGTTGGTTCTCGTCTAGGTATTGTCCTCAGAGTTATCGTTATTCTGGTACTCATAGTACATGAACTTCTCTAATTTTTTTCCCCTAAAGTACTTCTCTTTGGAGCAGCTTCCAAGAAAAAGAATCTAACAGAGAGATGGTCGTGTACAACAATACTATAAGTATCTCATTTCCACTACATCAGGAAGTATGCCTTATATTTAGAACAATAATTGTGTGAGATCTCGTACGTGTAATAATGCCTCCATGTGGGTGGCGTGTGGATGCTTCGGGGTTAGCGCTCCCCTGGCCCTTGGCCTACGGCCTTGGCACTTATGGCTTTATTTTAACAAATGAAAATAGCTCGCTAATTGAATGTGTCTTCTAATATATTTTGACTATAAATTATTTCGCGCCAGTTTTCATCCCGACCCAAAGCAAGTTTCTTCCATGGTTAATTATATCGAAAAAAGTACGCTTGTATATCGAAAAAAGTACGCTTGTATATCGAAAAAGTACGCTTCTATATCGAAAAACGGCGGAAACAAAATTTTTACCCCAAACTATGACTGATGCCGTGACATTTTTGTCGTATTTGAGCAAAATTTTATCTACCACCAACGAATGCTCGTATGGCGGCTATATTTGAAAAAAAAACCAATTGATGACCACACCAAAAAACGCTTATATGGCCCCATATAAAAAAAATTGCGAAAAAAAACTTTTGTCCCCAAATTATGATTA